CCTTCTGCCTAAGAAGCATATTGTTTGCTGTTATACTGTTTGTATTTAACATTTAATATGTGTGTTTCTTCCCTTCTGCCTAAGAAGCATATTGTCTGCTGTTAGCGTTGTTTGTATTTAACATTTAATATGTTTGTTTCTTCCCTTCTGCCTAATGGGCATATTGTCTGCTGCTGTTATACTGTTTGTATTTAACATTTAATATGTGTGTTTCTTCCCTTCTGCCTAAGAAGCATATTGTTTGCTGTTATACTGTCTGTATTTAACAGTTAATATGTGCTTTTCTTCCCTTCTGCCTCAGAAGTATATTGTCTGCTGTTATACTGTTTGTATTTATCATTTAATATGTGTGTTTCTTCCCTTCTGCCTAAGAAGCATATTGTCTGCTGTTATACTGTCTGTATTTAACATTTAATATGTGTTTCTTCCCTTCTGCCTAAGAAGCTTATTGTCTGCTGTTATACTGTCTGTATTTAACATTTAATATGTGCTTTTCTTCCCTTCTGCCTAAGAAGCATATTGTCTGCTGTTATACTGTCTGTATTTATCATGTAATATGTGTGTTTCTTCCCTTCTGCCTAAGAAGCATATTGTCTGCTGTTATACTGTCTGTATTTAACATTTAATATGTGTTTCTTCCCTTCTGCCTAAGAAGTATATTGTCTATTTAATTGTTATACTGTCTGTATTTAACATTTAATATGTGTGTTTCTTCCCTTCTGCCTAAGAAGCATATTGTCTGCTGTTATACTGTCTGTATTTAACATTTAATATGTGTGTTTCTTCCCTTCTGCCTAAGAAGCATATTGTTTGCTGTTATACTGTCTGTATTTAACATTTAATATGTGTGTTTCTTCCCTTCTGCCTAAGAAGCATATTGTTTGCTGTTATACTGTCTGTATTTAACATTTAATATGTGTGTTTCTTCCCTTCTACCTAAAAGCATATTGTTTGCTGTTATACTGTCTGTATTTAACATTTAATATGTTTGTTTCTTCCCTTCTGCCTAAGAAGCATATTGTCTGCTGTTATACTGTCTGTATTTAACATTTAATATGTGTGTTTCTTCCCTTCTGCCTAAGAAGCATATTGTTTGCTGTTATACTGTCTGTATTTATCATTTAATATGTGTGTTTCTTCCCTTCTGCCTAATAAGCATATTGTCTGCTGTTATACTGTCTGTATACTTCCGCTTGAATAGGATTTGGTCTCTGACCTTCTGTCAGAAATAAACAATATCCTATTCAGACAATTTTATTCATGTATTCAAGGCCATTGCCCATTCCAGAAATGTGTTGTATTGATTGTGTGTGTGTTGATGCTGGTCTTACACTGAAGGAACCTTATCAGTGTTGTCACATGATAAATCTAAGAGTCTCTTGTAAAACTTACAATAGAGAAATTATGATACCAAGTTATCAAACAATATGCTGAAAATCTAACAATAATTTGAAGTATTTTTTATCTTAAGAACCTTATATAAAAACATTGCTAAACTTAACAATACATTTTTGTCACTACTCGACATGATTCTAACAAAAGTGTTCATAGAAGGGCTATTTCTTATTCTAGGATGAAAACGTTCTGTTCTTACCGCTTCATAGCTTTGACATGAAATTCATCTTCTACAAGGAATACATTTTTACTGTGACAATAAAAACAAAGCCCACCGCTAGCAACCATATTACAATGCCTTCCTGTTTCAATTGCTAACCTGAAATTGTTACACCTGAATTTACAAATAAGAGTTCTTAGATGCAAAGGAATGTCAATTGAAAGATAAGATTCAACATGTAACATAGTTTTAAATTGACAATAAGTTTGACACTTGCTCAACTGTGAGGTAATACGATGCCATTCTTGACTCAAGGAGTCAAATAATCTCTGTTTGAAAAGAGAGACACACATTTTAACATTACCAATGTCACGACTTATCCACACGACTTGAAAACCAAATTGAAACAAAATATTTCTCACATGAGAAGCCCAGTTGTTTCTACCTGCATCAACCAGATTCTTGAGCATTAAATAAGACTGATAAGGAATATCCTGTTCAGACCGAAGAGAGGGGAAAAAGCCAGACAGAAGGGTAGTAAACAATATACTACACGCACACACACGGATGCACGCACATATGCACATACACACGCGCACACACATATCCTGTATAAAATGACAGAAAGGAATAAAGGAATCGCCATGGTAAAGTGGTAGCTTTCTTCATGATTTTTATTAACGTGTGATTTTCTAAGGTTTTTTTTACACTACTCTGGTACCAAAAATTCGGGCCCTATGCCCTGTACAAAAGTGACCTTATACAGAGTGGCACAACTGTGGCCACTAACGTGATCAGCGGGACAGTCATGATGGCACAAACACATCCAAGGATACACGTCATGACCATCCAATCCACATTTAGACCGGATCTTACCACACGTATACGGGCCCTAAGCTGTTCTTCTGGAAAATTGTGATTTAGCTGCAAAAAAAATTATGAATTCGACCCTGGAACAGTGTAACCATGCCCGGGCAGGACAATACACTCCACCACTCCCCTCCCCTCCCTCCTCCATATGATTCAGGAATGTGTTTATGTAATGCATGCACTCATTTCATACCCAGAAGTGAGTGAGTGAGTGAGTATGGTTTTACGCCGCTTTTAGCAATATTCGTGCAACATCACGGCGGGGGACACCAGAAATGGGCTTCACACATTGTACCCATGTGGGCAATCGAACCAGGGTGTTTGGTGTGACGAGCGAACGCTTTTAGGCTACCCCACCGCCCCCAGAACCCCGAAGGTATTGGCACTATGAATCCTGACTCTTTGACTACTTCACGAATATCATCAAGTGTATTACAACTGTTGTATTTTCAGGAAAGTCCAAAGGTTACATTGTATGAAGCTCATTTCTGGTGTCCCAGGCCGTGATATTGCTGGAATATTGCTAAAAGCGGCGTTAAACCAAACTCACTCACTCACTCTTGGCATCCGTCTGAAAGAAACAAGTCAGGGCATATTTTGATAAGGTGCATCATTTCGGCCACTGTCGTTTTACACTTGACTACCCGTCAAGATCCGGGTTAGAACTGATCTTCTGTAACCCATGCTTGTCGTAAGAGGCGACTAACGGAATCGGGTGGTCAAACTCGCTGACTTGGTTGACACATGTCATCGTATCCCAATTGCGTAGATCGATGTTCATGCTGTTGATGACTGGATTGTCTGTTCCATACTCGATTATTTACAGACCACCGCTATATAGTTGGAATATTGTGGGCGTAAAACTAAACTCACTCACTAATTTACACTTGACACTCTGACAGGGGGTGAACAATGTTTAGGAGATCCCAAATATATGGAATCCTAGTAGAGACATCGTCTCGTTGTCGCCCACGCAAAAACAAGCAAAACGTTGCAAAATTAACCAAAGTGAGACAACGCGACAATGTCCCTTCTTGGATTCCATACCTGTACAATCACCCAGTGAACAATCTGAACGTAATTTTGCAAAACCTAAAGCAAAACGTTTTCCCAGCATTTTATGAAACAAAATCTTTGACAAAACATATTTAGGTGTATAGTCGAAGAAAGACTTATGAACCTCTACGGTATAATGCAAAGCCCCGAAGTGTTACTATTGCTATCTCGGTACATAGATTACGATAATAAAAAATACTGGAACTATGGTCTGATATTCTAGTCTTGATTCAATGGATAATCTGGATGTAACTACGTTTTAAAAAGTACCTTGTCGTAAGACAAACGCTATCTCATGTCCAGGCTCGCTGACCTGGTTGATGAATGACACTGTGCCCCAGTTGCGTAGATCGATGCTCATGATGTCAATCACTTTTTTGTCTGGTCCAGGTAATAATTACAGACAACTGGAAAAGTGCTGAGTGTGGCGTTAAAGGACAAATAAACAAATGATAACCATTTTACATGCTATCAACACCCAAGCATCAAAATATTTAAAGGTTTAAGATATAATAAAGTATAATGGCAGAGAATAATAACTACTCTCTAAATAAAAAAATGTTTAAAATCCAATTGTATAAAATCCGTCAACAACACTGATGTATGATGATGTGTTGCTTGACAACGATATTAGAATCTATGTCGAAACGTCGCCTTTCACAGAATAAACTGACGTACAAAAGAAAGTACACACCCGGTGCTTTTGAATTATTTTCCAAAGAGCGACGTAAATGTTTTGAAAATAGTTTTACAGTGATATATAAGTCACAGACTTTCCTAAGATGTTGCCAAAACACCACAGATATCGTGCCCGATTGTGAAGTGGCCAGTCAAAATCACAACACTTTTCAAATAATCCCAAAACACAAGGTGTGTACTTTCTTTTGTACGCCAGTTTAAAAGAAGTTGTATATCCATAAAATTTGTCATCATTCTTCATCACCTCAACTTCTGAAACGCCCATCAAAGAAACACTACTGATGTCTGATTTGCTTTCTGCTACCGTAAGCGACTATTAACTCGTCTCATGAATTTGGGTTGATACGCGAGAGAGTTTAGTTTTCTATATGTACAATTACTAATACACATCACACTGTCTTGCTTAGGTACTCCACATTCTGAAAACAGGTTCACACTTGAGTGAGTGCCACTGACCCGGGGCTTTATACAACGTCTTCTCTTGGGACCCTCCTCTTCAGTACAAGCTGAGAAACGCCTACCGTCTCATCTCCTTGGCCATCAGCAACCGGTGTCATGTGTAAAAGGTACACATGAGATCACATCACGTGATTGTACCCGTATTGCAAATATCTCGAAAACACAGAATAAAGCATGTTTACACAATAACCAATCTCCACCCCCAAATGGGCTGTAAGTAAACTACATGTACCAATATTGTCACAATTTCTTTTAAACCTTCATAATTTCTATTACAGTTTATAAGGTATGTATGGATGATTACATAGGCTACTTTTTTCTCCATACACCGGTAAAACGCACAGTATTTTAGACCGCCCCCACGAGCTTCTGCAACATAAGTGACTCACAGACTCAGAAGTAGGTTTAAAATCAACTTGTTCAACATGCAGCTGTTTCAGATTATTGGAGTCTCAGTGCTTGGCCTGTTTTTGTTCGGTAAGTAATGTATTAATGTTCCATCGAATAATAACATCTGATTTTGGAATTATCTAAAATTGCGAGTTATGAGTCTGTTTAGCGCCTGTACTAAGCCTTTCTTTTTGGGAAAACAAGCCGACACACTGTAATCAATTTGGGATGGAAAAAATGACTGCGAATGTTTTACTTTGACGATGTTTTTCTCAGTTTAAATGTTCTTTGGATTTTCTCATCTCAAGCTGATTTTCAATCACAAAATCAGCAGTTCTCCGTTTATAATATATCTCATCTCGCGGTATGAGCTACAATCATTCTTTTCAAACAAACGTTATCAATTCTATCTAAGAGTAGGCAGAAATGAATCTTCTCTGTCGATTGCTTGTTAATATTTCGTTCTTTTTAATACCTTTTTAATACAAAGCTCTCCAAACTATTTCAGACCTTATCGCAATTTCAAATATGGCACATTAGTTGTGAACTAATTTTCATCTTTCGTAAACAACAAACACCTACAGAATACCATATGATGTTGGCTTTTTCATTCCTTTTTTATTACTTTCCCCGGCCGTGACCGACATACATATGATGATGGATGACCTCAGTGTCAGTTGACAGTACGCTACACCCTAAGACCGGGAGCGGGTGGGTAGAGGGTGACGAATGCCCCGCATTGCCGCATCATGCACAAAGCAATGTTAGCGCTGCGATATGATTGCAAAGCCTGTGTTGCAGCATTTGCCGTCGTCCGTATTTCTTATACGTGTTTCCCGTGCCCCGCCTGAACCAGTCAAATAGTGGGCGAGCAAAAAAAATAGAATCATAACAATGATATTTAAAAAAAAGTTATTTTCACTAATTGTGTAGCAATTCTAATTGTAAAGTTAAGATTACTTGGAAATATTCTTTAACTTTAAATCATTATATATCATTGATGGTGTTCTAGTCGCTTTGATTCGGAAACATTACTTGATGATGTAGATGAAGAAAGATCAGCCTGATCTGGATTTTTCAAGGGAAAGAGTATGCATGTCAGGGCATAAATCTCCAAAAAGTATAATGGGAAAACGTTTTTCATTTCTCGTTGAAATGAACTTTAGGGACGGGTGGGAGATTAGAACTCGGAAACTATGGACTGTTTTAAAATCGCTTTATGGAACCGGCCCTGTCGTTTTGCCTGTATACCACTGTCAAGTGTTGGCTAAGATAGCATTAGATTGATTAATACAAATACACTAATAGATGTCAGAAGCCGACAAAACGTTCACCCTGCGCTGAAGCACACTTATTGAGTACAGTCTTAATGCACCCTATTCGTATATTTTAAAACCGTCTCTGATAAAGCGTAAGGTTACTCTCAATTGTGATAAAATCAGAGCGTTAACTATATTTTTAAGTATATACTTTACTTATCTGTTCAGAGCAAATCAATACATTGTAACACTGCACATAGGGGTACAGAAAAATATGGGTTTGGTGTGTAGTAACACGAAACGTTGTTCATCCCTTACAAGCGATTGGCTCTCTGCAGCTCTCCCGTTGCTCCTTGAACAAGCTTGTTTGTGTATTTGTTGTTTAACAAGATACTGAGCAATAATCCAGCTTGATGGTGATGATCTGTAAATAATCGAGTCTGGACCAGACAATCCAGTGCTCTGCATCATAAGCACCCATCTTCGCAATTTGGGTACGATGACATCTGTCAACCATTTCAGCGAGCCGGACCACCCGTTCCCGTTAGTCGCCTCTTACGACAAGCATGGCTTGTTAAAGACAAATTTTAACCCGGATCTTCACGGGTGTTTAACGCCGCATACAGCCACATTCAAGCTATATGGCGGCTGTCTATGTAAAAGACCGAATCAGCACCAAGACATTCCTTTTATTACGACAATCATGGGTTGCTGAAGACCAATTCTAACCCGGAAATTCACGGGTATATCTTGAACAAGTGTTTAACTTGGTTTACCATCCACAATTCTTTAACAGTTCTAACTAAACGTTTTGGTACAACTTATACTGAAACAATAGACAATACTACAACCCAATACTACAAAGACACCGATATTATCTGAGAAGAGTAGTGTCCCATAGCCATTTTGGATCCGCTTCGTCAAACATTAGATTCGTCATTCTTTACTTCCAGGGGTTGTCAACAACACGCCCGGATTCACATGCGTTATTTTCGAGTTCCACGGGGCTATAAATATTGTTGTCCAAACATACCCACTTAGCTACGCTCGTTGCATTCCGATAATAAAAGCATTGGGCCTACTTTTATGTGGTCGGGTATAGTTTGGTCTTGAAGTGGGGTGATTCATACATGAGTTCCATTACTCAGATCTTCTGATAACATCGGAATTTCAATTGTATTGGTAAAAGAGATGTCTGTTCTTGAAGCAGAGGGGCGGTTGGGTAGCCTAGTGGTTAAAGCGCTTCTCGTCTCGAGGAAGACCCGGGTTCGATTCCCCACTTGGGTTCAATGTGTGAAGCCCATTTCTGGTGCCCCCCACTGTGATATTGCTGGAATATTGCTAAAGGTGGCGTAAAACTAAACTCCCTCACTCTTGGAGAAGAAAGTTCTTATTGTGCATTCATGGAATCGGGAATGTGTTAACCTTCTCCAGGTATACTGCGCAAAGCTGGTGTCAGCTAAATCAAGTTCATATTATGTCTCGTCAGCAAACTCGACAGAGACTTCTATATCGTGTTTTGGGCGTGTGTCTGGAACACAGGGTTGGGTGAATTTCGGGTATTTGTATGGATGTCTGAGAGACTGGGTTGACTTGGTGCCTGGGATATTGTGTTTAATAACGGTCTGGAAGGTAATGTTGATTCTCTGGTGTGTAGAGTTCACTGACTGGCTAGTATTATGTTTAAGTGGTTAAAGCGTTCGCTCTTCACGCCGAAGACCCGGGTTTGATTACCCACATGAGTACAATGTGTGAAGCCCATTTCTAGTGTCCCCCGACGTGATATTGCTGAAATACTTCTAATGGCGGCGTAAAACTAAACTCGCTCACTGTAAGTGTAACAGATTGTTTCGAATCAAGTATGATGTACTTTCAGTTACCAGGACAGAGGCTGATAACCACTGCGAGGCCAGCGATGACAAGATAAGCGCTTGTACTAAGATTTTTGTCGGTGTCAATACTAAGGCGAAAAATGCCACAGCCTGTCTGAAGGATGAAATAAAGGGGAGCTGTATGTAAGTACTTGGCGTTTATGCTTTTCCATAGTTATACCTGAATTTAATTTTCTCAATACCAGCTTAGTTCGCATGTGTTAAATCCACCTCTACATTCAACTCTTCGATTAGCCTTAACACATTAATACATATGTAGGTATGATTAATGACGCTCCAATATTGTGAAGTGATGTATCTAACAGGTCCACTGACGAAACAGCAAGTGCGGTTACAGATCACAACTTCATAATTACCGCGTTCTTTATAAATAATGTAAATACATTTGCTAAATTCAGAATCACTGGCGGTATGCGTGTGCAGCTGCATGCATTCCCTTTTACATGATTCACCGTTGTCATTCAGATTTCTTTCATGTGTATGCAGCTGCATGCATTCCCCGTTAAATGATACACCTTTGTCAATCAGATTTCTTTCATGTGTGTGCATCTGCATGCATTCCCTTTTACATGATTCACCGTTGTCATTCAGATTTCTTTCATGTGTGTGCAGCTGCATGCGCTTGCATTCCCCGTTAAATGATTCACCATTGTCATTCAGATTTCTTTCATGTGTGTGCAGCTGCATGCGCTTGCATTCCCCGTTAAATGATTCACCGTTGTCATTCAGATTTCTTTCATGTGTGTGCAGCTGCATGCATTCCCCTTTACATGAATCACCGTTGTCATTCAGATTTCTTTCATGTGTGTGCAGCTGCATGCATTCCCCTTTACATGATTCACCGTTGTCATTCAGATTTCTTTCATGTGTGTGCAGCTGCATGCATTCCCCGTTAAATGATTCACCGTTGTCAATCAGATTTCTTTCATGTGTGTGCATCTGCATGCATTCCCTTTTACATGATTCACCGTTGTCATTCAGATTTCTTTCATGTGTGTGCAGCTGCATGCGCTTGCATTCCCCGTTAAATGATTCACCATTGTCATTCAGATTTCTTTCATGTGTGTGCAGCTGCATGCGCTTGCATTCCCCGTTAAATGATTCACCATTGTCATTCAGATTTCTTTCATATGTGTGCATCTGCATGCATTCCCCTTTACATGATTCACCATTGTCATTCAGATTTCTTTCATGTGTGTGCAGCTGCATGCATTCCCTTTTACATGATTCACCGTTGTCATTCAGATTTCTTTCATGTGTATGCAGCTGCATGGGCTTGCATTCCCCGTTAAATGATTCACCTTTGTCAATCAGATTTCTTTCATGTGTGTGCAGCTGCATGCATTCCCCTTTACATGATTCACCGTTGTCATTCAGATTTCATGTGCAGCTGCATGCAATCCCTTTACAAGATTCACCATTGTCATTCAGATTTCTTTCATGTGTGTGCAGCTGCATGTCCTTTACATGATTCACCGTTGTCATTCAGATTTCTTTCATGTGTATTGCAGCTGCATGCGCTTGCATTCCCCGTTAAATGATTCACCATTGTCATTCAGATTTCTTTCATGTGTGTTGCATGCGCTTGCATTCCCCGTTAAATGATTCACCATTGTCATTCAGATTTCTTTCATATGTGTGCAGCTTTGCATGCATTCCCTTTAAATGATTCACCATTGTCATTCAGATTTCTTTCATATGTGTGCAGCTGCATGCATTCCCTTTACATGATTCACCGTTGTCATTCAGATTTCTTTCATGTGTGTGCATCTGCATGCATTCCCGTTTTACATGATTCACCGTTGTGCAGCTTCAAATTTCGTTAAATGTCATATTCAGCTTGCATGTGTGTGCGGCTTGCATTCCCGTTAAATGATTCACCATTGTCATTCAGATTTCTTTCATGTGTGCATCTGCATGCATTCCCTTTACATGATTCACTTTTGTCATTCATGCATTCCCTTTACATGATTTCGTTGTCATTCAAATTTCTTGCAGCTGCAGCTGCATGGGGCTTGCATTCCTTTTAAATGATTCACCGTTGTCATTCAGATTTCTTTTCATGTGCAGCTGCATGCATTCCCTTTGCAATCCCTTTACATGATTCACCGTTGTCATTCAGATTTCTTTCATGTATGTGCAGCTGCATGCGCTTGCATTCCCGTTAAATGATTCACCATTGTCATTCAGATTTCGTTTCATGTGTGTGCAGCTGCATGCGCTTGCATTCCCCGTTAAATGATTCACCATTGTCATTCAGATTTCTTTCATGTGTGTGCAGCTGCATGCGCTTGCATTCCCCGTTAAATGATTCACCATTGTCATTCAGATTTCGTTCATGTGTGTGCATCTGCATGTATTCTCATTTACATGATTCCCCGTTGTCATTCAGATTTCTTTCATGTGTGTGCATCTGCATGTATACCCCGTTAAACGATTCACCATTGTCATTCAGATCTTACAAATTGTTCAAGACTTGCGTCGACATTGGAAAAGATGCATCGAAAAATGCGGAATGCAAGACAAAGATTTCCGAGAAACTGAGTAAGTGTCTTCCCTATGTTTGCTTCGATTATGTGTGTAACAATTCAGTGTATCAACAAGCAGTTTATCGCTTTCGATTTTAATTAGACTGTTGTCGGAATACTTCACCCAGCAGAAAATGGGTACCCGGCGGGATACGTCATGTCCTATTAAACTTCTAGCGTCTTACAGGCAGCTTGGGGCATCTGGGGTAATAACAATAATCAGCGCCGGTGTACAACTAGACAGAAGGATACTAGTCGCTATACAAATCCATTATTATGTTTATACTTCACTATATCTCATTGATTATTTTGTTTATATTAATGATACCGTCATTTTTGTAAAGCTCCAGTCTCGCGGGAACATTGCTTAGTAGAGTATGACTTGACCCTGAGCTGATTGACTACATCTTCATCTGTTTCAGAGGCTGAAGGGATCGGTTGCACTTTTGACGAGGTGGTTTCTGCAGTCATGTGTGGTAAGATATACCACAGTGAATGAGTTTATAAATTTAGAACTGATAATGACACGAAGTAGCTTTTATCAGCATAAATCCCCAACATGGGAAGGGCTTGTATGTTTGTTTAACCCCGTACACAGCAATATTCCAGCTATACGTCGGCGGTAAAGGCAATCCGGAGACATCGGTATCGATCATCGAGCCACAACGTTAACACAATAAACGAAAACCATTCCACGAAAAAGGACAAATTGGCTCTGTAACGGTATGTGAAAAGCGAAAACGAAAGATCCGCAATTAGGAAGCAAAGGTGTTCCCTGGGTCGCGAAAGCGACACGAAGTTTTTGCGTCACAGTCGCGACCAAGAGCGGTTTGTTTGTGTAGATACGATAATGTAAATGGTTCAATGATGACTTGATGTGTGTGGTATAGATGCAGAAGCTGTCACACCAGAGCTCTGGGCACTTTCCTTGTGACCAAAACGTCTGGGTTCGATTTCTGTCATGTGTGCCCCCGCCGTGAGATTGCTGAAATATTGCTGAAAGCGACGTAAACCCATACTCACTCACTCACTTTACTAGCAAGGCTCGTAAATCAATGTAGAAACAAGCACGGACAACTCAAACATTGTTCAAACAATCTAAACCAGTTTATCAAATGACAACAAAATATAATAAGTTTCAAATTTTCAGTACAAGTTTCAATACAGCGTCTTAGATCGTAATGAATGGTTCAGGAACGACGGTTTTGTGTTAGAATAGAAAAGATAGAATTCTGTGGAAATGATGTTAGGCAAATTGGCAATACAGCGTCTTAGATCGTAACGAATGGTTCAGGAAAGACGGTTTTGTTTTAGAATAGAAAAGATAGAATTCTGTGGAAACGATGTTAGGCAAATTGGCAATACAGCGTCTTAGATCGTAACGAATGGTTCAGGAAAGACGGCTTTGTTTTAGAATGGAAAAGATAGATTCTGTGGAAATTGATGTTTCAGTTTTTGGTCTCTTCTTTCTTTGTTCCAGGTGGATCGACTGTCACCTTCAACCTGGCTTTGTTTGTGTGCACAGCACTTCTGGCTATCATCAAGTTCTAGAGCTAGGTTTGTTCTTCTCCATTCGTATACAGATAATGAATGTTTGATGTTAGAGGAGATGAATGTATACTCTGCAAGGAGGGGTATTTTGCTGAATATAAAACAATGCCCTGCAATGAAAGTAAGAGATTCTTGTGGCAAGCACATATCCGAAGGTATCAAGCTTCCCAGCTTAACATTGAGACTGGTCACTGGTCATGGAGGTCAGCACGTGCACGGTGTGGCACGAGCGGTATGACAATTGTCACTCAGACGTGGTTGTGAGCAGAGGCATATTGTTTTCTATCAACCAAACGCTCAAAGAGACTTCTTTAAACACATTATTCATTTAAGAAGCGACAGTATTGCTCTCGCTACGTTTGAAAACCTTTCCATGCCCTAGGCAGGTTGGGGTGTGGTGGGGTAGCCTCGTGGTTAAAGCGTTCGCTCGTCACGCCGAAGACCCTGGTTCGATTCCCCACATGGGTACAATGTGTGAAGCCCATTTCTGGTGTCCCTCGTCGTGATATTGCAGGAATATTGCTAAAAGCGGCGTAAACCTAAACTTACTCATCTAGGCATGTTGCAGGTTGTCGCACGTCAGAATATTACTGCCCAAAACGCTGTAGGTTCTTCACTGTGACACCAGCAGGTTATGGTCCCGATACCAACATACACATAATCTGGATAACCAGGGGAAACAATTCCAACCCAGAACAGATTACTCTGAAGAATGACATCAAGAAATCAGTTGCAAACTGCCGCTTAGATAAGGAACAGGTTGTAACAGGCAAATCCTGTGAGAATACATGCCCCCCGTCGATGCGGCATCGTCTGCACAGATGGCGTTTGCGTGCACGACCTCCACGTGCCATCCCACGACGTACTGAACGTCATATGAATCATAGACGTCAATGTTGTTGGGGACGTCAGCACTGCACGTCATGACCCTGACAAATCGGGTTCACTCTCGAATTCCATGACGGAAGGAATCAGATTTGGAGACAAGCTAGTGAACGTTTAATGACGTTAACGTCGCTACAGCGTTTTCGTTTTGGCGCTGGATCCATAATGGTATTGGTTTTATCACATTTCTGGCTGATCTGCGAAGATTGCTAAAGGCAGAGTTTAAATAAACTCACTCACTCACTCACATTTTAAAAGAATGCCGGTCTTGTTGCAGGTCGTAATCACCCAAAGGTCAACAATGAAGAAATCTTTCGATCCGCTATCATCATCAGATTGACACCAGTGACCATTTAGATGACCATCGGACCAATGACCTCATCAGTCTGAAAACAGAAAAAACGCCACCACGCACATTCCATGTACTGATGTAAACTGTACGAAAATGAAGTGATTTGAAGATACTTCAGGCAATTTGAAACTCCCGATTATTAAACACATATTGTCCTTGGTCACTGAAACCTGTGTTCGTAATGACAAAATTTCGACCTCTTTCTGTAGCTACGTTAGTAGTATAACTGTTAGTGATGATTTATGTATTATGCGCATGCGCACATGACGTTAGTATTAGCTTACAGGAGGACTTTGTACCACAGTCTAGCACTCTTTCCCAGTCGTTTACAGAGCCTACTTCCATGAAGCGTCTCTACAATGTTTTACTGATGGACCGCCAGCACGAGTCTCGTTCCTCGTTATCAGCACGATTTGACGGAGTGTGTTTGTAGTTGCTGGGTTGTCTTTGAAGCAATTCACCACTCCTGATCTTAAATTGCTGATGACTATCAATTTCTGTTCAAATTAACCGCTTCGTGATAATCAAAACTTAGATTTAACAGATTAGGCTTACGTTATGAATAGAGTGCCATTAAGCACTCATCGTGAATTCTCTTTGTAGGACTTTTACCATTGACTGTTAACTTTTGTAATAACATTTATACATTCTATTGCTTGTTAAGAAATAAAAGAATATATTTATCTTTGAAACAGTCATGTTTGTTTTTACTCTTTCCATCCAACTGACAAAAAGGACCATTTTATGCAAATACCATGTTTATATTTTTTAATATTGTAGCACTTAACTTGTTTGAGTGACATTTAGAAGTTGGTGTGATGAACAACGAGGAGTTCTATGGATATACAACTTCTTTAATATAATATGAGCGACGTTTCGGTGTAGCTACTAACACTGTTATCAAGCAAATGATGTACAATACTAGAGGCAAGGTATATATACTCATGCCAATAATGGTTGTCACAGCATCAATGTACTCACCAGTAATCACACCCACTACAAGATCAGAAAGCTACTAGAAGTCATTCACATCAAGAGACTCCAACCGGCCATGAACAGAGACCAAGGATATTACATCTCCACTGCCTACAACCAACTCATCACCAAACAATCTTAATCCCATTATTCTCCTGTCTGTCATATCACTGGCTTCCTCCCAATAATCCCCCATAGCTTACTCTGTTTGTGTAACAATTGCCTTCTTGTGTAAACATCCTCCAACCTTGTACATCAACCTCATTAATTGTGCAAACCTCAATCGCTTACTGTTCAACTTTACTATGTATATATACCTTGCCTCTAGTTTTGTACATCATTTGCTTGATAACGGTGTAAGTAGCTACACCGACACGTCGCTCATATTATATTAAAGAAGTTGTATATCCATAGAACTCTCCTCGTTGTTCATTGTAGCACTTGCAATACGAGTGAAATACCTTGATATAAGTGAGTGAGTTTAGTTTTACGCCGCACTCAGCAATATCCCAGCTATATGGCGGCGGTCTGTAAATAATCAAGTCTGGACCAGACAATCCAGTGATCAACAGCATGAGCATCGATCTGCGCAATTGGGAACCGATGACATGTGTCAACCAAGTCAGCGAATCTGACCACCCGATCCCGTTAGTCGCCTCTTACGACAATCGTGGGTTACTGAAGATCAATATTCTAACCCGGACCTTAACGGGTCCCTTGATATAAAACAGTAACCCGGGAATTACGGCTTGATATGGGAGGAAAGAAAACCCAACGTGATGGTGGTGCTAGATGTTTAATGAGTGGGTCTACGCTGCTTTTCGCAATGTGGGGAATTGAACCCGGGCCTTCGGCGTGAGGAGCGAACACTTTAACCAATAGCCTACCCCACTGCCTAGACGTTTAATGGCCGCACAATCATGGGTAAAGTGTGGAATTAGGAAGATAATCGGAAGAATCTTTAATTTGAACCAAGGGTCGTTATTTTATAGTATTCCTAAAGACTCAACAATAAGCAGCAAGGCCTCAGTGAAGAATCGTCCAAGACCTGGAAGAAATAGGAAGACCGTGTTATCTTAGTCATGTTTTGTCCGGCAAGACGTGATGATCCATGCCCACCATGTTGGCAAACAGACACTGGCCTACATATAGACAGACAGAAACTTTTGTTGACCCAAGCCATAATAAATGGCATCTGGCCATATACATAATATTTTGGTATGCTATCAAGGTAGCGAGGATGTAACAAATATTTCGCTTTTCATGCACATTAGTAATTTCTTCGCTGCAAAGCTTCATACACATAAGCGGCTACGTTATTAGTAGAAAATAATTGTAGAAATTTGTAAACTGAAGGTGGTTTAAATAGTATTGCTTTAAATATTTAATTCTTAGATCACTGTAGATTTAACATTCTATGATGAAGTGATATTCGTCTTCTATTTCATTGCTGTTACAATTTATGCATCTTCTCTATTCAGTTACTTCTGTGTCTTCCTGTCTTGACGTGTAGAGTGCGCGATGAAAGGCTGATATTACATAGGGCTCTTCTGTGTTCACTATTTCCAACTTTGATCAGATAATCTTCAACTTTATGTATACACATGTGCACATACCTGCCAACTCGCACGTCGTTGGCTTCTATTACTCACGTCTCACGATAAAACTGATAAATCTCACGCCAGACTTTAGTATGGACATTTTGACCACTTAAAATCACAGAAATATGTCTGAATACATCTAGGCGTTGGCTTCGCGGGGTTCGGGGGTCCTTCCCCCTCAACCCCAGACCAGGTCCACCCGGTGTCTTCGCAGGAAGGCGACTTTTTAGTTTTAGCTTTTCGCACGAAGACGAAACACGGCGCTCTTTGATGTTTAGTGTTGTTACAGTATACGTAATGTTTATGTAAGGGCTTACCGGGGCATTAACAGGGGATCAGCGTAAGGGTGGCGACTACATTTGTACTAATTTCTACGTGAACACAGTTCATGGGTCGCTCAAGAAATACAAGAGTCATCATTACTTAATTTCTGAATAACTTTGAAGGTTGGCATGAGCGGTTGAAGAAGTTGGTTGGTTGGTTGAAATATTTTATAAATACATATGTATGAATAAAATGAACATGAACGTATTGTGGTTGTCGCCTTCCTCTGGGATTAAGGTTCTTGTATAACCACCCGGACCAATTGTTGCAAATGACCACCCTTTTCGCATGAAGGTGAAAACGAAAAACGGCCAATGTTTATACACGTCCAAAAAAGTCGCGTTCCTGCGAGTGAACCGTCCACCCTGGCCTGCAGCCCTTCGACCCCGGCATCTCAAGCTTTTTTATCCCCTGGCGTTGGAAGCTCGGTACACATATTTTTCAACTTTTCCTCGGAGTCATTGCCCATTATCAAGCCTATGAAATCACGTATATTTTGAGCGTGCCTGGCCTGTCATATCAAATTGTATCGGTATTATGAAAGAAAGTACAATTTTGGACATATTCGGAATAATCCAGCCGTTTCAATTCGGGTACCCTGGAAGTATTAGCCTTAGCCCGTCACGCTGAAGACCGGGTTCGATTCACACATGGTTACAATATGTGAAGCCCAAGTTTGGTGTATCCTGCCGTGATATTGCTGGGATTTTGCTGAAGGCGGCGTTAAACTAAACTCACTTACTCACTCAATTCAGAAAAACAGACACCCCATGCTGTTCTCGCCTCGCATTCAACACCACTCGCCCCTTTCCGTAACCTCCAAGAAGACTCGTCCCCCTATCGATGCTTGTTAAACGACAAACCAATCAGAACCCGCGTAATGAGTGCGGTGCTTTGATAAAAATAATCCCCAGTACTTAAATCGATAATGGCATTATGTGTTTGTTTAAAAAATCATGAAAACTATATGTCGTCATATTGAAAGTACAAAGAACATATTTTACAGAATTGTGTTGCCTCGTGTAGATTTTAGTCAGGATAATGCGGTTGACGGTGAGAGATTCAAATACACGCACGTGCGTTTGTTGACATAACGGCTCTCATCATTCGTCACCACTCGCCCCTTTCCGTAACCTGCAAGAAGACTCGTCCCCTTCTCGATGCTTGTTATGTGCGAAAATCATTCGTGATCAACTCGTGTTATTCCGGGACAAGCGGAATAGCGGGTTACGGAAAGGGGCGAGTGGGGACGAATGTTCCAGAGGGGCACGAGTCGCTATTCGGCTTGTCCCGGAATAACACGAGTTGGTCACGAATGGGCTCTCATGGGTCCAATTGAGTGTATTTTTGACGATCTTGCGGGCTTGTTTTCCAGATTGTACGTGCGCTTCCAACAATATGAGGAATAAATCGCTACGAGTTTCAAAAAATAATTATATCTGTATGTAACCTATCAACTTTAATTTCACATCTCTGGGGATGTTTTATTTTGACTTTTTTTTCCAGCGAATTCATTTAAAATTCCACCAGGGGTATGGCAGCAAGGTTACACGAATGTTCAGTTTGAGAAATATGTTAAAGTAATTTTGGAGTATCTGCTTTGGGATTGAATGTAGCTGAATCTTTTCTATTTTATTTGCATATTCAATAAAACAAATCCTATTTGTGATAATTAAACCCTATTTAGGAATATAATTGGAAATATAAGGTGAACAGCTGGAAATAATTACGTCAGAATATGTCATTAAAATATGTTTTCTCCTTCTTCTAGGAGGTTTAGTTCTTTAAAATAAATAAGCAAATACAAAAACAGCAATACAATGTACGAGGGCTTCGATGATATTCAGTACCATTGGAATCAAACAGGAATAGAGTTATCGTTCTTGTCTTAAGTCAGTCATTCAGATGTCCATGCGCCAATGTGAAATCTTTCCTTTCGGCTTGTCCCGGAATAACACGAGCTGGTCACAAATGTCTCGCCTCGGTCTATTGCCTTCATTTCTTCTCCTCATTCTGTTCCTTACGCTCACCTCATTCTTGCCTGACTTTAGCCTGTTTCCTTACGCTCACCTCATTCTGACCTGACTTTAGCCTGTTTCCTTACTCTCACCTCATTCTGGCCTGACTTTAGCCTGCTTCCTTACTCTCACCTCATTCTGGCCTGACTTTAGACTGTTTCCTTACTCTCACCTCATTCTGGCCTGACTTTAGCCTGTTTCCTTCCTCTCACTTCATTCTGGCCTGACTTTAGCCTGTTTCCTTACTCTCACCTCATTCTTGCCTGACTTTAGCCTGTTTCCTGACTCTCACCTCATTCTGGCTTGACTTTAGCCTGTTTCCTTACTCTCACCTCATTCTGGCCTGACTTTAGCCTGTTTCCTTACTCTCACCTCATTCTGGCCTGACGTTAGCCTGTTTCCAAACTCTCACCTCATTCTGGCCTGACTTTAGCCTGTTTCCTTACTCTCAGCTCATTCTGGCCTGACTTTAGCCTGTTTCCTTACTCTCACCTCATTCTGGCCTGACTTTAGACTGTTTCCAAACTCTCACCTCATTCTTGCCTGACTTTAGCCTGCTTCCTTAATCTCACCTCATTCTGGCCTGACGTTAGCCTGTTTCCAAACTCTCACCTCATTCTGGCCTGACTTTAGACTGTTCTCACTTACTCACCTCATTCTGCCCTGACTTTAGCCTGTTTCCTTACTCTCACCTCATTCTGGCCTGACTTTAGACTGTTTCCTTACTCTCACCTCATTCTGGCCTGACTTTAAACTGTTTCCTGACTCTCACCT